CTATAGTAATGTTAATTTTGTATTTTCAAAAACAGTTTAAAAAAAACAGTAAATGTTGAACATGAATGTGTAAAAATTGGAACAATCAAATTAAAATTTTTTTTAAACTTATTAATAATTAAGTGAACAACCCATTAATCGAGTAATAGATAATTACTTAATATTTGCCATATTCATTTCAGAGATAATTTATATTTTAAAACTGATTCATGCAACCATTTTATTAATAATTAAGTTAAGAAGAAGGATAAGCTAGTAAATAGTGCTAAAGGTAGTGGATAGCTATATTGGAATTTTTTATTAATATGATTATCATATATATAATTATTGAAACTGAACTTAACAGCTTTAACTCAGAAATAATGTTAAAGTTATGATAAGAATACAAAACTAAATTTAATTCAAGGCAATATGTTTAGAAACAAAATTTAGAACTGCTTATATTCAAGGTATTGTTGGACTTTAGTATTTTGTTGGTAAATTGAAAAATAGTGATGTGCATTTGGTTTTCAGACAATACTGTTCATTTTTTAATATTTAATTTCAATTCTTTTGGTTGAAGGATCAAATTACAAGTAATACCACATGTTCATCTGGTTTTGTATTATAGGAAATTTCTTTGCAATCATGTTACAATTACATTCAAGATAATTGTGAAAATTAATAAAAAATAAAATTAAGAAATATCATCTCAATAAAAGAACTAAAATAGGTAGATGTCTGACTTTACAAAGAATCATATCATCTAATAGAATATTATTTTCATATCAATCTTAATTTTCACAATGGTAATGAGAACATTATCTCTTTATATATTTTTAAGAAATTAAATATTACAATCACTTACTTTATATTAAGGTTTTCTAAAGCAATCATTAAGTACAAATGTATAATTATTAAGTTAGTATTTCTTTTTCTTCTTCACATCTAATAGTACTATCTAACATCATATGAAATTTATCTATAAACTAAAATTTATAATTAGAATTGACTACTTGAAATTTTAATATTAATTTTATTAGAAAGAGGTAAATGTAGATTAATTGTACTTAAGCAGATCATCAAAATCAATAAATAATGGGAATTTGTATTGATAACAATTGTCAATATCAAAGGCCTTATTGTCATTATTGCCTACCAAATCATTGTTAACACCTCAACAAGCTAATACTTTCAGAAATGTTAAATGAATGGATTTAGAAACGGATCCTCAGTATTAATGATGTATAAATGAATGCTTAAGAGTGTAAATCTATTCTTGATAGTCTTTTAAATAAATTTATTCCTTACTTCAACATTAAGTTAGAACAGCTAGGAATTTCTTAAATAAACTAAATCATTAAGGGTTTATGCTAAATTGAACTTTACGAGTAATAATTTTTCAACAAACTCAAATCATCAATAGAATAGGTCAAATAAATTGTGAATAAAATATTAAAAGACTTCATAAGTTAAACAGATTTAAAGTAAAACATTATTATGCAAGTTAAATAACCTATTATTATCAAACCTATAATTTAAGAATTAACAAAATAAGTGAACATATCTAAACCAAAGCAATTCACTTTTGAGCTTATCAAATAAAATTCAATTAAGTAAGATGACTATTGTTGTGCAATTGCTTTTAATAAAGATGGCTCAATTCTATTAGCTGCATCTTATCGTTATATTAAAATATATCAAAATAAAGAAGGAAAACTTAATCAAATATAATGTTTAAGGGAGCATACAAATACTGTTTATACATTAAACTTCATGAAGATTACAAATAATTTTGTATCTGGTAGTTATGATAATTAAATTATAATATGGTATGTGAATGGAAATAATGAATGGAAATGCTAATAAAAATTGAATGGCCATTTAGATAGAATACTGTGTTTATTGATTCATAATACTGATTCTCTCATTATATCTGGTAGTGGGGATAAAACGATTAAATTTTGGATAAAATAGAATTAATGGTTATGTTAATTAACCATAACGGAACATACTGATTATATATGTTCATTAAGCTTAAGCGAAGAATAAAATAAAGTGATTTCTTGTTCAGCTGATTCATAAATATTAGTAATCGGATAGTGATAGGTGGATAAAAAGTGGGCTGTTATATAAAAATTAAGTGTAAATTAGAGTGGATGTAGATTATGATTCATAAATAATGACTAATTTATCTTTTAACCTTATGCTAATTAATAGATGCATATATATGAAATGGATAGGAATAATAAATATTATAGAAAGACTAAGAAAATTGCTGTAAAGTGTGGTTCAAATTCATGCAATGCATTTTTTCCATAATAATACTTTAAATCAAAAAGTCTGCTAGTGAATAAAATGGCAAGAATGTTAATTTAATTAGGAAGACCGATAATGGTGACTTTATAATTGAATAATCTATTGAATTTGATAATGATGGTATTTTTGGATAATTAAGTGATGATGGAGAGTATTTGATCACTTGGGATATTAGTTAGAAGGAAATACAAATCAGAAAGTACAAGGAGAGATGAAAAATAATGAATTTTCTTCTTAAAATTATACAGAAATTATTATTTTTTTTTAATACTTTGCTTTGAGTATTTACAAGTATATTATGATTTTTATAATCATATAAATAAATTTAATAAAATACTTGATTATACTCTCCCAGATTTCAATTACTTTCCAAATTGTAAACTAGATTAAGCTTGATATCAATGCAAATTATCCATCCATTTTATTTCCTCTAAATCACTTAATTATATTAGTAAGGAGTCTGCACCTTTAACGACACTCTAAACTTATAAAATCATGGCTTTATAAAGTGTATTAAATGCATATTCTTTAAGTGCTTTACACATGTAAACTTTAAAAATGAGTGAAACTTAAATGACTTTAATGGGTATATTATGAAAGCCTATTATTTTTGTTATTCTTCTGTTAAACCATAAAAGATTCTATCCAAAATTAAACCAAGCCTTGCTATTTTTAGATTTTTTTTTTAATTTCATTAACACTCTAAATCATCTTACATATCTGGAAATACTGAATTCTTATCTTGAATTAGCCTTCCCTTCAAGTCAAGAACCAAGTGTACAATTAACTATGCTGTGCTTATTTGTCACAATAATTAATTGGTTGATAGAAAAAGGAACGAAAAATTAAAAATATAAAAAATTGTATGTATTTATATGATAAAATGCTTGATTTTAAATAATATACAGCATATTTAATTTTTGATTCTTCATCTGTCTATTCAAATATATCCTAAAAGGATAATTTGAATGTAGAAATTGGTTTCAGCATCATGTATTAAATCATATCATTATAATATAAACATATAAAAAATTTGTGTTTTGGATAGAAATAATTAAAAAAAGAATTTAGTTGGATTAAGTTATGGTAAATTATACTATAAACACAGTATTTGGAAACGAATTGGTTCGCTCTAATTCAAGTCTTAAAGTTTAACCTTTTAGTGGAAAACCATTTAAAATTTGAGGAATCTATATAATAATCATTTAGATTTCTGGTAGTCATTCTTCTGGAAAAGCTTTACTAACAGAAAATTTAATGAATGAACTATAATCATTAGGATTTTTAGTTAGTGCAGTTTTCGATCATAAAAATTTTATTTTAGTAAGCAAAATTCTGATTCACTTAATAATGTACTCTGTATAAATAATTAAGATTATCAAAAGTGTTTGGTATATATTTCACTAATTTTTAGACAATAGCCATCAAAACCCTATTGACTACTAAAGATAAAAAAGTTATTATAATTGAAAGAACTTGGATTCTTTATGATAGATATTCAAGAGATTTACTTGATTTGTAGATTATCAAGAAAACATATTTAAATTTTATAAGATTTAAGTATATAAGGAAGTATATACTAAACATAAAGATGTGGAGAAAGTTACTCACAATTACTTGAATAGATAAAAACCTCTTTATGAATCAGTAATAAAACCCAGTGAGTAGTATGCTGATATTATTATACCCAAATTTGAAGGGGAATTCTCTTTAAATTAAATAAATAAAGGAGTTAATTGTTAAAAAAAGAGGAGTATTTAAATGAACAAAATAACAAAAAGTTGTAATTTAAAAACAATTAATCGCAAAGAAAAAAATTTACCTAAATTGTTAATGAATGAGTTTTATTTAGAATATAGAGGTTTATTTGTACGTGGTTATTTAATTTAATAATTCTATGCTTTTCCAAAACTTGCTTAATTAAATCTAATCTATAAGTTAAAAAGTATTTTGACACATTTTGAAACTAATAAATTTGGAGATTCAAAAGGATATTAAATTCTTAAAAACAGATTTCAAATTTGACATTATAATTATTTTATTATCATAAATGTCTTTTGAAATTACAGAAAAAACGATTGGATTTGGATTAGTCACTAAACTTCTAGACAGACGTGCTTTAGAATATTTAATAGCGCGAGATGAGATTCAATAACCATCTGCATAGAAATCAATAGTATCTTGTCCAAGTTCATCTGAAGCTTCAAACGTACATGATTTAGGATTGGAAGATTGCCTCAAATCAGAACAACCTTAAGAGAAGAAAAATGAAAAATAAATAGAGAAATAATAAGATAATCATTAGGCATTACAGTTTAACATTGTACCACCCACTAAATTTTTACGTCTTTTAAAAGAAGTACATGTAAAGCTACTAAACTGATCACCTCTTTAAAATCTTAGGTGATAATCTTCTCTATAACCATCTTTAGAATAATAGGCTGATATTCTTTACCTTTTTCAAACTCTATATCTTTTTGGCAATAAACCATGTTGAAAATTAGTTAAGAAATTAGAAATTAGAAACTAAATGTCAATATCCTTATTCAAAGAATGAGAGTTAGTGACTGTTGATATTTAATGAGGCCATACATATATATATATATCTACAATGGTAAAAAATATCACATTGGTGATATTTTTATTGCTCAAGACATTTTTGGTTGTAGGTATTGCTATTTAGCTTTTTTTGATTGGGTAAAATTAAAAAATATTTTATAATATTGAACTCATCCATCTTATGATTTAACTAAAAGAAATTAAGAAAAGTTAAATTAAACTTTCAGAAATAGGTTTAAAAGATTTGTCCTAAATTTATTTTTAGCACATATGACTTTTACTTGAGATCCATTTAAAAAGGTAAAAAGTGTGATAGTAAAAAAAAAGGATAATCCGATTATTAAACAGTTTTAGAGTATTATGATTGAAAAGTATGTCGATGGTGAAAATATATTTGTTGGAATAGCCAGGCAAGAGTTAATTATAATAAATTAGAAAAGAAATAGATTTATATACATTACAAATTACAACTGTACTCTTTATGGACATATATGTTTATGTGAGCATATGGTTAGATAAAAGTTAAAAATAACAATAATTTAAATGTTACCTAAATGAATGTAAGGCACAATAAAAGAAAAAAACTAAGCAAGCCAATAATAGTCTTCATTTTATTCCTTGAATAAGTATATTTTAGGATGTAATGTAATTCTATTAATAAAATTTTAATAGTAGACAAGAATGGGTCATTTATGATATCATGTTAATAAAGAGTATATTTATGAAGTTGTTTGAATCCAATTAAACAGATCATTTTATGCTTATTAGTAATAACTATTTTCAATATATAATTGAAATGAAATATAATTTATAAAATAAGTAATATCATTAATTTATATTTATTAAAAAATCTTTTAAATATATCTGATAAGGAAATTTTAAATACATTCAAATGAGAACTCTAAAATATTTCCTTAAGGCAAACCACATTTTAGTAGCACAAAATTTTTATCTGATGGTAATTTAATTTTGCTGCATCATGAAAAATCACTTTTCATTGAAGTATTTTTGACTTTCATATTTTCTTGATTTTTGACTTTTTCTTCGTTAAAAGTCAATTTATGTTTTCATTCGAATTTGTTTTTTAACCATAAATTTCTTGATTTTCGACATTTTGATCTTTAAAACTCAATTCTAATTTTTATCAGAGTTGTTTTTTAACCCTCAATTTCTTGATTTTTAATCTCTAAAAATCAATTCATATTTTCATTAAAGTATCTTTTTCCTAAAAATTTCTCCATTTTTCAATCAAAGTTTCTCAATAAAAGTACTTAAACAATATAATATTTCATGAATAATTCCTTAATATTTATAATAATCATTCATTTTCCTATCATCCTTCATTCCATTTTCTTATTTAAATCTCTTTTTTACTATAATCCCATGTGATCAAATACTCTCCATCGTCACTCAATGATCCAAAAATATATAAATTATCAAATTAAATAGTTTATTCATTTATAAACTCTCCATTTTGTTTCTTTCTTATAAAATTAATACTTTAACCATTTTTATTCACTAACAAACATTTCATTTTTATATATTATTATGGAAATAAACCATTATAACCATTAGATCCAGCTTATACGTTAATTTCCTTGGTCTTTACAAATTATTTATCACCACCATTCATTTCATAAATATGCATTTATTGTTTATTATAAGGTTAGAATGTGAATTAATTATTATCTATAAAACATAATCTATATCCGTATTAATCTACTTTAATCTTTTATATCACATTCCACTTTTTATCCTTCAATGATTA